ATCTGTAAGGTCAGCAGTTCAAAACCACCAGCCACTCTGTGGAAGAAAGATGGGGCTTTCTACTCTCGTGAAGTCTCAGAAACCCACAGGGGCAGCTCTACCCTCCTCAAAAGGGTCACCTTGAGTCTGAATCGATTTGAATCGGTTTGATAGCAGTGAATTTGGTTTTGAGAATAGCTGTAGGACAATGGATTTTAATGGCCAGGGGGTGGCAATTAAGAGAGTAATTTCTTTTCGGAAAGAGGGTGGTAGATCGTTTGGGGGCCTGTGTTCTTGGATAAACTTCAGGCCTAAATAGGCCCCCAAGGACCCAGCGTGCAGGACCCCGGTAAGAAAGAAAACTTCCATAGCCTCCTGGACCAACCAGTCGGGTCGACGCTTCCAGGACACTCCTTCCCTGGAAGAACCATCTGTGCATCTTCCCGGGGCTCCTGCTCCCCACCAGCCACTCAGGCCTTGGCCCTGGGAAGGAAGGCTGGCCGGGATCAGGCCTGGACCCCTCCTCTTCGCTCTCCACCAACTAGGCTGCTGCTGTTAGCTGCCCTCCAGTCTGCCCTGATGCTGACAGGAAGCGTTGTGCCACCCCCATGATGGGCTGTGGACTGGACCGCTGGGCTCCATGGGGTCACTGGCTGATTTTCGGGAGCAGATCTCCAGGCCTTTCCTTTGAGTCCATCTTTGTCTGGAGGCTCTGCCGACAGCGTTCAGCATCACAGAAGTGCACCCCTGAAGGGCAGGTGGGGACTGCCCGAGGTGTCGTGGCTGAGATGGAAACTCGGGTCTCCCACCTGGCAGGTGAGCACTCTCCACTGAACACACTGGCCTGTTCAACGGCTGCAAGAACAGCAACTCCAGGCTTCCTACGCACCGTCGACTGCCCTCGGCACTGATGTGTATCAAACCACTCGATGCTAATACACTGCTGCCAACCAGTGGCACTGTTATCTTACCTATCATCCTGCTGTGGAAACTAAGGCACAGTGAAGCTAAGTCTCTTACCCAAATCATGTTTATTAGTAAATGATGGGGCCAGGGCTGACCTCCCGGGAGGCTAGCTGTGAGCCTGCCTGAGGATGTGGGTTTACTCCGGGGCAGTACAGGTAGTCCCCGACTTACGCCCACGGGGATCCATTCTGACAACCTCATCATGCACTGGCACATAAGTAGAATCCCCCTTTTTTTTTTTTTGGTTTAAGTTTGCATCATTATCGAATTTTTGTGATCACTGTCTTTATAAGCCTGATCTTTGTTTGTCTTTAGGGGATGGTAACATGACATAACCTGTTGGTCTGTTTTAATTCATGCCTACATCTTACAAACAATAAGACGTACCCCTCCATCGCCCTCTAAAAACAAAACCAGGCCGTCCATTCATAACTCAAATATGCTGTAAGTCAGGGACACCCGTAAGAACGCGGTCAGCAGTCCCTGTGGATCTGGGACAACCATGTTGAGAACAAGCGCACACGTGTGCTACATGCAGCACCCACCAGGCCCAGCTCGGAAGGAGCCCGAGGAGGTGGGTTCTGCCTGGCCTGGTCTGGCCAAGCAGGGAAGTGTGTGGGCTCTGGGCAGCCTGAGATTAAGACCTGGCTCCTCTGGGCACTAACTTAGGACCACCTTCCTGTTTCATTGTCCTCCCTGGCTTGGGAGGGTGGGCGTGGGGGTGCACTGAGGTCCTGGCACCCCTCTTACCTGCATGATAAGGATGCACATTCCCACCGTGCCGAGCACGTGCTTGTGGTCATCAAACCACATCTTCACCTTCTCGTAGCAGCCCTGCGGGGCAAGGATCACATGGTGAAGGTCCTGCCCAGCACCCACCTCATATTCCCCCCTCAGCTCCTGAGCCCACCCCTGGTCCTAATAAGCCCCACTGCACAGCCTCAGGTCCCCCCCCGCCCCCCCCTGCTCTTCCAGCTGTGGGTCCTGCCTGTTAGCTACAGTCCCAGGCAGCCCTCCCTCTTCACATAGGGTGTGTGTGTGTGTGTGTGTGTGTATGTGTGTGTGTGTGTGTCACAAGGCCGTCCTCACCGTTTTCCACAGGGGGTTGGTGGTATTCCGACCACAGCCCTGGGAGTTCTCCATGCAGCAGCGGTCTGGAACCATGTTCTCCCCCAGCACGGGGAACCAGTCCGTGTAGTCAGTGACACCGCAGCACTGCATCTGCCAGCAGGGTGCAGAGAGGGCTGTTCAGAACATGCCCGGAGCAGGGTCCACCTGTCCAGGACCCAGCCCCACCCTCCTCTGGCCCCACCCCATCTGGGCTCGCCTTTGTGGGAGGAGGGAAGGGCTATGGGCCCCTCCTTTGTGCCCCACAGGGAAGGCGGGGGCTGCAGCAGCGCTAGGCTTTGTGAGTCCTCCCAGGAGCGGCCAGCTGGCCCAGCAACAGCCCCTCCCAGTGCTTCAAAATGGGGTGTCTGTAGAGACGTGTTTTATTCTTCACACCAGCGCCTCTTGGCCTGAACCAGGCACCAACAGCGAGGACAACCTGTTCTTAACAGAAAGCCTGTGGCCTGTCCAGGAGCTTCAGAGAGCAAAGGCCAGACTGTCCGCCCTTAGTAATTACTCCCTGAGCTCGCCCGCCGCCCCATTTGCTGCTGTGTTCAGGCCACGGTCATGGCTGGGTGGCCAGCTGACCCAGCCACGCAGGCAGATGGCGCCCTGGGGCTTAGTTCCCCACGGGCTACAATTCAGAAGGCGTGGGCTCCCCCAGCTCCCTCCCCTGGGTCAAGAGCCCAGAGCCCCCACTGGGCTGAGGCCCCACACAAGTGGGCTGAGACGCGGGCAGGCCTGACCTCAGCCTGGATGATGTTCCAGGCGTTCTTGAGCCCCACGTTGTTCTCCGTGTTGTACAGCAGCAGGCCCTCCTTCAGGTCCTTCTGGGCATTCTCATTCACCTGTTAGGCGAGGACAGACAGGACAGGCTGGTGAGGACCAGGTGGCTGGAGGGGAGAGGCTAGGCTGGAAGACCCGCCCACCACGAAGGCCCTGTTGGTCCGGGGGCTACTCAGAGAGGATGTGGGTTCTGGCTTCCAGCTCAGGCCTGCGGTCCTCCCTGATGGATGTGCCACTGACCCCCAGGGGAGCTAAGTTCTTAGGGCTAGGGCTGGAATACCAGTAAAGAAACAGCCGGAGCGAGCTCCTCATCTGCTCAGGCCCACCCTGTGGCCCATGCCTAGTGTCAGGCCTCTGCCTCGCTAGTCAAAACAGCCCCACAAGACACGTACAACGGGCTGGTGCTGTGTTAGATGCAATTTTACAACCGTTTACAAAACTACGCCCTAAATGTGAGGGAGTGGTTGCATCGGGCAGTGCACGGATCCAGTCTCTGTTTCCTCACCTGTAACGCCTGAATACCAGGATCTACCCCAGCGGTTCTCAACCTGGGGGTCGAATGACCCTTTCACAGGGTTGCCCGATTCATAACAGTCACAAAATTACAGCTATGAAATAGCAACCAAAATAATTTTATAGTTGAGGGGGTCAGCACCGCCACATGAGGAACTGTAGAAAGGGTTGCGGCATCAGGAAGGTTGAGACCCACTGATCTACCCCATGGGGAGAAAGGAAAGTGCTCGTACAGTGAGCTGAGAACAGAGCTAGCAGTGCAAAGGAGTCACTCAGTACCCGTTGTGACTTCTCCCCTCTTACAAGTGCAAGACCAGGGGAGGGCGATTTCCCATTGTAACAATGCCTCGAACGTGCAGGGAGTGGCTTGAGCAGTGACTTCAAGAACCCAAGGGACAGATACTTAGGTCTTGGATGAGCACATTGCCATGGGCCAATGATGGTGGCCCTCTGTGACAGGGCAGAACTGCCCCGGAAGGATTCCACAACTGTAAATCTTTAGAGAAACAGTAAAAACCCACTGTTATTCGGTCAATTGTGACTCATCACAACCCTCTCTAGGATTTCCTCTACGTCTTTACAAGGAGCCCTTGGTGGCACAGTGGTTGTGCTTTGGGCTACAATCTGCAAGGTCAGCAGTTCGGACCCACCAGCCATTCTGAAAGAGAAGAATGAGGCTTTCTACTTCCATAAAGAGTCACAGTCTCGGAAGCCCACGCAGACGGCTTTACCCTGTCCTACAGGGTCGCCGTGAGTCAGAATCGACTGGGTGGCAGTGAGTTTGATTTGACTTTGGTACATCTTTACAGGGGAAGACAGCCTCATCTTTCTCCCTTGGAGCCCCTGGCAGGTTTGAACCACAATCCTTGCGATTAACTGTCCAGTGCTTACCCATCAGTGCCAAAGCAGATGGCTACATTTTCCTCCCAGGGGCAGCTGGCAGTTTCAAACTGCTGACCTGTCAGTGGGCAGTTGCATGAGCACTAACTACCCCACCACCACCGATCGAGTAAGAGACAGACACTAACTACCCCACCACCACCTATCGAGTAAGAGACAGACACTAACTACCCCACCAACACCGATCATCGAGTAGGAGACAGAGTGCGGCTGCGGAGCACTGGCCAGTCACTCCAGGGGGCACTAATAATGAGTGTCTCCCATCTGACAGCAAACTACCCCGAAGGGTGAGCTCACCAGTGGTCACCCCCATCTTCCTGAACTTGAGGAGTAGGCTGAGCCGAGGAAGAGCCACTCTGTTTGCCAAAGTCTCTAGAAAAGGCCCTGCCCTACTTACCAGCACCATCTGGAAAGTTCACCTTGTTTTCTGATGGATAACCCACTTATCACTCAGCCCATCACCTGGGGTGGGGATGGGGGGGGGGCAGTCTGAATCCATCAGGTGCTGCCACCGACCGACGCTTGAACCACTTGCGGTGGTAGGAGCTTGCTACGGAAGCCCCTTCTGCCCCTCGGTGATTTCAAATATTCCCCGTCCTACAACTACACAAAATACGTGTCGCTCTCATTGGCTGCACCACAATGCTGCCCCTCTCCCAGCAAACCTTCCGTCTGGGCCTTCCCTGGGGGGGTCTCACCCTCCTGACCCCAGCATCCTCCTCACAGCTGCCAGCTTGTTCCTCTGTTCAGGGAAAGGCCCCGACGTTACCTGGCCCCAGCCTCCAAGGGCTACACCATTCCATATGCCAACCCCCCCCCCCCCCCCCCCCCCCCCCCCCCCCCCCCCGCCGCCTTCCTGTCGTGCTTACCTTGTCCATGTAGACAAAAAACAGGATCAGTAAGATCAGCTCTGCTAGGAGGATGACCAACAGAATGATGAAAAACTGGAAAGCAAAGACACAGGTGTGGGCACCTGGCAGTGAGGCCAGGGACGGGGTGCCAACCAGGGCTGTGGGGAGGGAGGGGGGCACACTGCACCCAGGGCAGGGACTGCCAAGGTCACGGACCCCCAAGGAAACCCAGGGAGCTACGGGAGGAAGATGAAGTGGACAGCTGATCGAAGGAGTGGGCGAGTCAACTAGGGTAGGGGCAGCCAATCACGAGGAAGATGGGTGTGGTTGGGCACAGAACATTCGAGAAGCAATGTCTGTGGGCACCGCGGTGGCCTGAGTGCAGGGAGCTCCAGCCTGCGGACAGAGGGCTGGGGTACCTCCCACTCCCACTTACACTGAGCAGGAGGCACTTGTTCTCCTTGATGGCGCCCAGGCAGCCGAGGAAGCCGGTCACCATGACAATGGTGCCTATGGCGATGACCAGGTTGGCAGCAGACAGCGAGGGGAAGCTGGGGGAGAACGTGGCGAAGTTGCCCTGCGACACGGAGAGCCAGATGCCCACTCCAAGCAGCCCACAGCCACAGAGCTGGAGAGAAAGGGATGGTCATTAGACCCACAAGGATCCTAGAGGTGGCCCCAAGCCACGACATTCAAAAGAGGCACAGACAACTGGGTGTGGGGGGGGGGGCGGGAGACGGGTCACATCTGGCCTCAAAGAAGTGGCCCCGGTTCTGGTCACAAGACAGAGTTGTGTCGGTCAGGTGACCTGGACATCCTCCAAAGTGCCTCTCTGTGTCTCAGTTTCCCCACCTGGCAAGTGGGATAGTACCAGCTTCACAGATCTTACGGGGTCTCAGAGGGCTGCAGTGTAAGGACCCCAGAGGGCACAGGCCTTTGAAACGCCAGTCCAAGGAGCCGGCCACCATGAGCGGTGGAGATCACCCCACCTGACTGAGAAGAGGAGGGCAGGGCGCAGCAGGAAGGAGGCACAGGGAGGGTCTCCTGTTGCTCTGACCACAGGGACCACCTGCCCACTCTTCTCAGATGCCCAGGGAACAAATTCCTAACATGCGCAGACAGGAGCGCACGCACTGCTGCCTGGGGGCAGGCACGGTGCCCCTCACAGCCTTCCCCATCTATCGAGCTTGGCATTATTGCCGCCGCGGCCCTATTCTCCTCAACAGCACCCCTGGGGCCACCGACGCCACCGGCTCCACCTGGCGAGGCCTCGGTTTTGCTGGCTGCAAATTTCCACATCTGCTTTATTTTATGCTCCATAGAGCGGACAGCCCCCACCCCACTCCGTCTGCCCGCTCAGGGAAGTTTGCTGAGTCTGAGGGGCCAATCCATCAGTCAGCCAATACTTATTGAACCCCTGCAGCGGGAACGGGCCTCCGCCAGAAAAGCCGCAGCTGATTCAGAGACCTGCCTTCCTGGAGGTTGGGTGGGGGAGCAATCAAGAATGTACCTGGAGCAGGTAACTGCTACAGGGGTTCAGAGGAAGCCCTCGCTGTGCTGGTTAGCAAGGCCAGTGGGGAGCAGGCCACCCCTCAGGAGCCAGAGGAACTGGGGCAGTGGAGGCAAGGTGCTGGGAGCCACAGAGGGGGACTGGACTCTGGCTCTCACTCGTCCTGCTGTCCCCCTGCACGCTCATCTTACGCAGACTGAGGCCGCCGCCACCCCCGCCGGATGGCTGTGCATGGGTCAGCGAGATGGGACAGGCAGTGTTGGAGGCCAGTCAGGCCCAGCTCCCAGGGGCAGCATTCCCCAGCGGATCCTACGCGCCTCCTGCTCTCAATTCCTCACGCTCCGCGCCGAGGAGGAAACGCAGGTGCACTGGGTGGCCTTCTGTCCCTGCACCCCAGAGGGACCAGCCACACACATGGGAAGAGGAGGGGAGGAGGTAGAAGGGACCCTCTGGAGATAGCATCTCCACCCTCCTTCAGTCCACAAATCCAAACGGAGCACCCGGCTTCTGATGTGCCGGGCCCTCTCCCAGCTGCCAGGAAGGCAGCGGAGAGCAGGATGGCAAAGGCCCCCACCCCCTAGACCACCCAGCACACACCCATGGCCCACATGGGTCAGAGGGGATCTGGGCTCCAGACCGCTGTCCCAGGCTGGTTTCTGGGCACGTCAATGACCAAGCCTTTCTTTTGCGGCATCTCTGGTGGGCTTGAACCTCCAACCTTTGGGGCAGCAGCCAAGCAGTGAGTCCCAGGTGCTCAGTCGCAGACTCTCGCAGAGGCACCCTTACCAGAGCAGCAGACATAGAACCGAATCCCAAGCACCAATAGGTAAGGAGTCCGAAAGTGACTGGTGCCCAGGGAAGGCCTCTCAGCAGAGAGACTGTTTGCAGAGGGGCCGCGTACAGAGTGGGCAGGGAGTAAAGTCAGTAACTAGGGAGGTGGCCAGGATAGAGCCTCGGGGTGGGGGCTCGAACACAGCTCGCTATGCTCACAGACACGGGGAGGGGTGGGGAATCCGAAGTGGGGGCATCCGTGGGACAGACGGGGGCCTTTGCATCACTCTGTGAAGGAAAACTGGATGCTGTTCTTGGTGTGGGGAAGCCCCTGGAATGGGGTTGGGGGTGTGATCCAGGTTAGGCCAGGGGGCCCCCTGGACATGGAGGGTACGGTCAGGGTGAGGGGGGCCAGCAGAGCAACCAGTGACATCGCAATGCCTCCGTGTATCAGTGAACACCGCTGGACCCAGGCGTGAGTGGGCGGCGCTGACGCAGGGTGGCAAAGGGGATGGGAGGTATGTGGAGCCCATGCCCCAGTCCCCGACAAGGCAGAGCCGCCTGGTGCCTCCTTTGAGGAACAACTGGGTCAGGGCACAGCCACAGGCACCCAGGCTCAGAGCGAGCCCCCAGCTCTGCAGGGCTGTGGGTGCCACCCCTCCCTGCAGCCGCCAGGTGGCACTCCAGGCCGGCTCAGCAGTGGAAACTTATTAGCCCAGGGCACTTGTCACATTGTAACTTCCTTCAAATCTGGTCAGTCCCGATGCTGCCTCTTCAATTTTTCTTTCATGAATCATGCCGTGGGGAATGCACGGTCTTCATGCTCAAGATCGATGGCCCTACGAGGCATACTGAGAAAGCCGCCTGTGACAAAGGTGCCCCCAAGCTGCAGGATGCCCCCACCTTGACGCTGGAGACAGTCCACGCCCCTGAATCCCCACCAGACCTGACCGCATCACACGGCGGGTGGGCCAGGTGGGAGTCTTGTCTGTGCTTCTATCCCCCCTTGCCCCTGGGGGGACTGAAGGGGAGGCCTGGGAGCTCCACCGGGGAAACGCTGACAGTTCAGAAATGAGAGCCGGCCGTTTCTCTCACTCTGAAAAGCTGACTCTCTGGCTTCTGACATTCTCCCAGCAGAAGCCTCCAGCCACCACTCAGAGAACCTGGGCGCTGCCCTCTCCCCTGCACCCTCTCTCTCCCTTACGCTGGGTGGATCCCACAGGCCCAAGCCACTGCCTACAGCTGGGGCAGTCTCTGGAAGCGACCTATGACCAAGTCTTCCTCTTAAAACCCCGCTCCCTGTCTCCCACCCCTGTACCAAGGTCCCTGTCTTATCCAACTTCTTCTGAGCCCCAAGGGAATGGGGCCCCTGTAGTGCAATGACGATAGGGTACTGTGCACCCCACAGACACTCCCTGCCCCCTCAGGAGTCTCCTGCGGAAGAGACCCTCCATGCCTCCAGGTAAGACCAGGCCTTGCTTTCAGGGACAAGAAAACCATGGGGCACATGGTGGCCCAGCGGAGACAACACGGGGTTTCTGAGCCTGTGGTCCAGAGCCCCTTCTGCACCACCAGCTCCCTAGGGGGGCTGAAAGGCACCAAGTCGGCCCACCACAGCCTTCTGTCTCCCCCCAACAGACCCACCCCCTGAGATAGTTAAGGTTTATGGTGCCAACCTGGCCAATAAACACATGGATTAACTGAAGGGTGGTGAGATAAATGGCTCGGTGAGCCTTGCTTTTCTAGTTCTCGGGTCTCTTGTTTCCTGATGGTCAGACCAGGGTGCAGTCTGCCTTAGTCAGTTCCCTGCTTAGCTGGCAAGGCTCACTTCCTGCAAGACATCCCTGTGGAGAAGCCGCATGGGCCTACCCCGATGCAGCCCTGGGTGCTGGAGCAGCCCTGTGGAGACCCCTGCCAGCGCTGAGATGCTTACATGCTCACTGATTCATCTTTCCTCCTGCATTTGGCATCATTGCGTGTGTTTTATGAGATGGAGGAGGACTTGTAGACTGGTGTCGGGCATATGGACTAATGTTGGACTTGTGGGCTTGGACAGCACTGGGTTGGGATGCTTTCTTAATGTACACTTACCCTTTATATAAACCTCTCGCTTATATACATATGAGTTTCTGTGGATTGATTTCTCTAGTCTCCCAGACTAACACACCCCTGTCTGCCTCCAGCCTTGCCTCCAGCACAGCCCTTGTAGCATTGCTGGACTCCTCTCTCTAACATGCCCTTTCCTCGTGGGACTCCCCTGGGTTACCCTACGACTCTTTAGCTGTCCTGGCCCAATTTCCCTTAAAATGTGGGATTTGGAATAGATGAGATGGTTTCTAGGGCCCCTCCCAAGCCCCGTCATGTGTGGATCGAAACCAAGGCTGGGGCACATTGCTCATACCCTTGCCCAGTGGCCCTGGACTGCGGGTGGCTTTGCCTGCAGGGGACCTGGCAGCTCGTGAGTTAGTCAGGGGGCTGTGAACCACAGGTCGGTGGTTTAAAAACTCCAGCTGCTCCGCAGGAGAATGCTGAGGCTAGCTGGTCTGTCCCGTGAAGATCTACAGACACTGAAGCCCTAGGGGGGGCCACTAGCAGTGAGAATGGGCCCTATGGCAATGGGGTGCTCTGTTGTTTGTCGGCATGGCTGGTTGTCACGCTTCTGAGCTGGCGAAGGTGGTGCACGGCCATCTCGTGGCCAGAGCCAGAGATGTTGCTGACATCCCGCAATACACCGGATGCCGTCCTGACTGGCGTCTGTTAGCAGCTGCCAACAGCGGGCCTCCACGCTGACCTCGTGGGACGGGGTCTTCTCCTCTTCTCTCCTCTTTATGGAAACCTGTCACCAGGCCCTTCTTCGGCAAAGCCACTGGGGAGTACCAACTGCCAGCCTTTCCGTCAGTGGCTGCTCTCAAACTGCTGGTGCTGCCCAGGGTCCTCAACAAAGACCTTTCCAGCCCCAAAGGCCAAGGGGGCCTAGGTTGAGAAGCCTGTCCTAGCCCCATCCAAGCCAGGTGCCTACCCACTGATCATCAGAGGGAGAGCCTGGTGTCCATCCCACATGGCGGGGGGCCGAAGGGGGGAGCAACAGACCTGGCAGACATGGAATGGAACACAATGGAGAGAGTGTGTGTATATGTGTGTGTGCGCATGTATGTGTATGTATGTGTGTATATGTGACTGTATATACACGTGTATGTGTCCAGGTGTGTATGTATGTATGTGTGTACGTGTGTATTGTACGTGCGTGTGCTGGAACAGGGGGAGTTAGAGGTCGATGGCCTGGTGGGGAGGGGTGGGGATGGGAGGGCGTGGCAGGAGAGCTCCCATGGGGAGGCACCAGAGCCCAG